CCTCATCCTTGTCATCACTTTGCTTTTTCTCTTCCAAAATTCATCACTCAAAAAAAAAAGAAAAAAAAATTTCTACATGATGCTTCTTATCTCTGTTCATTTTACATAATATGACATATATGAATACATAAATACATATGTGAAATTAATGCAAAAGAATTAATTAATTATTTTTACGTGACAAATTAAAAGAAAACAAAAAGAATGATAACGCTTTTCTTTTTATCTTTCTTTTTTTTTTTTTAAAATGAATCATTTTTTATTCTGCTAACAATATGTATTTTTATTTCCCATAGATTGTTGTTAGATGATAGCAATTTTAAATGAAAACAGGGAGAATATAATATTTACCTTTTTTTTTGATAAATTTAAAAATCGAATAATTTTTTTTGAAAAAATTGATTTAATCAAAATTTAACGAAACAAAACATTTCTCACTTCTTTTTGACACTAAATTTATCCAATATATATTTATTATATAACAGTTATACTCAATAACATGATAATATGATAATATGATAATGCCATAATTATAGTATACTCAGTGACTATACTTATTGATATAATATATCATATTGCTCCAAAATTCATTTTTATATTAGAAATGAAATATTTGAATTAAATATCATCTTTGATACGAATATAATTACAAATATGAAATTTTATTACAAAGTTAATATTTTCTTTTTTTTTTGTCTTATCATTCATCTAATATTTCCTGAGATAATTTTCATCATTTTCTTCCTTTTAATTCTTTCAATATTTTCTTATATAGTAATTTAATTCTTATCATTGTTATCATTTCTTATCAAATTGAATTCTTATTAATTTGTATGAAATCATGAAATTATTAAAATTTTTAAAAATAAATTTACATAATCATAAAAAAAAAAAAAAACGAAAATTCGAATGTGTTGTTGTATATTTCAGCTGGTTAGTGTAACTTCCCCCTATGTCGCAACTACCCAATTACTGCCAACTGTGCCTGCATTGAACCCTTATACAGGTATGACAACATCAACAACCACTACTACTACTACTACTACTACTATTACTCTTATCACTACTACTATTACTCTTATCATCATTATCATAATTACTGCTATTATCCTTATCATCATTACTAATATCATGTTTTATTTGTTCATTTGTTCATCCTTTTTAGTTTTATTTTTTAAAAATTTTCACTCATTTATTTTTTTGTTATTTTTTTCTTTTCACAGCATGCTTTTCAAAATTTTCTGAATATTAAAAAAATAGGAAGAAAGAGGGAAATTAATTATTGTTAACTTTTTTAATTTAATTTTATTTTCTCCTCGAATTTATAATGTCATACAATATTCATCCCGGAAATTTTTCTTTCCTTGTCCTTTCATCATCCAGAAATGAAATGATTTTAAATGAATTTTACCGGAAATGAAATGATTTTAAATGAATTTTACCGGAAATGACATGATTTTAAATGAATTTCACCGGAAATGAAATGATTTTAAATGAATTTTACCGGAAATGAAATGATTTTAAATGAATTTTACCGGAAATGAAATGATTTTAAATGAATTTTACCGGAAATGACATGATTTTAAATGAATGAAAACAATTAAAAGTAAGAAAAATTCACTAACTAATACTCAGTGTATCTCATAAAATGAATGTTTACCTATTAACTCATTCCATAGTTTTCTTCCCATTTCCGTTTATTACCACTAAAATTTGAATAAGAATTTAGAGAAATACAAAATTTTACAAAGAGTAATTCGAGTAATTCTTTTCCTTTTTTTTTCTTATTAATCCCGTATCGTAGGACGAAATGAACTTATACTTTTTGAAATTATGAAAAAAAAAAAAGCAAAAATTTGCATGATTGTTGTACCTTCTACTAACTGGTCTTTTTTTTTTTTTTTGAGGATTTTGCTATTAATTACAGTAAATTTAATTTCGTAACTATTTCATTACGATAATTCGTATATTGTATTTGTTATTACATAATCGTAATTGTGTTTTATTTTAAAATGCCAATTTTTGTTGCTAAGTTTTTCAATTTTTTTTTTAATATTCAAAACAAGGTATGGGAAAAACTTCTTAATGTCTATGTATTTCATTTTTCTTTTCTTTTTTATTTGTGAGATAAATTTTATTTAATTATACCATTCTTTTTTTTTTCTAATAATTTATGGATAATCTACAGTATTTGGTCATGGTTTGATGACACCTGTACCGGTAAAAACTGATATAAGAATAACCGAACAACATCATCAACAAGCGATAAATACTGCAACACAATGGGCAACAGTTGCGGGTTATGATGAAAAGCAAGTTGACTTTGCTCAAACACTGATGAATTCGCAATATGCTGCTGCTGCTGTAAGCTATGGAGGAAAGTAAGTTTCCGAAAAACTCGAGTGATATTAGCAATAATGAACAATTAATAATAATACTGATAATAATAATAATAATAATAATAAATAAT